GTGTGTGTGTGTGTGTGTGTGTGTGTGTGTGTGTGGGAGGATGTGTCCTATGCGTCAAGGGGACCCCTGACTGGGTGTTATAATGAGAGCAGAGTCACCAGACACAATGAAACGTGATAAGCCGATCCCCTGATCTCAAAGGGGCACACACACACACACACACACACACACACACACACACACACACACACACACACACACACACACACACACACACACACACACACACACACACACACACACACACACACACACACACACACACACACACACACACAGAGGGGTGTCCCCCGGGGCAGTGGCTGGTTCAGCTAATGAGCAGTTGACCCACTGAGGAGCCGAGGCTGCAGATCGCTGCACATCAGAGGAAGAGAGTGATGGATGGAGGAGGAAAGAGAAGGAAAGACTGAGTGCGACCACTAACAACAGATAGACAGACGAATGCAGCAAGTGAGAAATGTCTCATTAGTAGTGTGTTTTAAAATAAAAATGAAAAATAAAAGCAGAAAATAGAAAAAAAAGAAGCAGGAGGACTTGTCAGCAGAGAAGGACAGTATTATTAGTCTGGAGGCAGCGGGCCACCTCAGTAGCAGTAATGTGTCCGCCCATCTGGTTGTGGTTAGAACAGGCTGGCACCGGTCCACAGCCTTTGAAGCACGGGGGGGAAAAGCCCAGACCAATTTACTGCAGAGACAACGAGCTGACTCTCTTATTCTTTCAGTTTGACCTCTTTATCGCTCTGTATCCACCTGGCTGCGAAGAGACATTTCTGGGAAACCTTTAAATGTAAAATAAATGTGTTAAATCTGGTACATTAAATGGCATTAATTATTTTCTCGTGTTTGATATTGTTTTTAAATAGTGTATGGGAGTTTTTCAGTCTGTGGTTATAAGTATGGTTTGATTGTCTCGTGTGTTTACATTTGTTTTTTCTCCTATTGGTTTTGTCCAAATTTATTTATACTGCTTTTTATATATTTATTGATGTTCAGCCCTTTGGTCAACGCTGTTGTATTTAAATGTGCTATATAAATAAAGTTGGGTTGGATTGGATTGGATTAATTATCCTCCATAAGAATTGAAATTGTTAGTTATTGGATACATTTCTACAAAATAAAATGATACTGCATTAATCCATATTTTTTCATTAACAATGAATCAAATCAGTGTGTGTAAAGTAAAAGGGGACGCTCATATCGGAAAACTCACAGAGAATAATCATCCGACTCTCAGCTGTACAGAGAGTTTTAGTTTTACGGCAAACAATTTCACTGTCCCTCCACTTCCTTAGTGATGTTTACAGAGGAAACAGTGTGATAAACCCACTGTACGCTACACACCTAGCACCAATATATATAGGATTCACCAGGTGTAAGAGTTTGTGAATGCAAACACTGAGGTAAACAGAGTGAATGCTTGACCTACAACAGTCAGGTAGACAGAACAAATAAATAATGTGAAGAAACAACCCCTTTCCTCATCTCTATTGTTGTTGTTTTCTTCTCCTCTCCTTATTTCTCTTCTCCTTCTCTCTTTCCTTTGTCCCTCTCTCTCTTCTCGCCTCCTCCAGCCTACTTCACTGAGCTGCACGGCAGCTCTGAGCGCTCCCTGCAGGAGGTGCTGTCTCCACTCGGCCCCCTGTACTCCCAGAACACGCGTCTCTACGCAGATCTCTACACCGACCTGCGACAGTACTACAGGGGCTCCGCTCTCAACCTGGACGAGACCCTCACTGAGTTCTGGTCCCAACTCCTGGAGCGCACCTTTAAAATCTCTGCTCCTACAGATGTGAGTGAAGAAGTGAAAGTAGAAGACATTATGCCATGAAAAAGGGATGTACAGGATGATGAAAAGATAATAATTTAAATAATAAAGCAGAAACCAGAGTGACCTTCTAAATACGTGTTCACATTATGGCCTCTGTTTTGGATATTTAATAAAATCTTGATAACGATCATGTGAAATAGACCAAATTATATTCAAATGGGAGTGCTTGAAGTGCTAATCGACACGATTAAAAGATTTGGTGAACTAGTTCTCCTGATCCATTCAGCTGCTAACTGTTCTCCCTCTTCAGTTCCTGCTTTATTTCTGACTCATAAGGAAAATCATTTTCCAAAAGTTAAATTTTTAGACCCATCACCTGTCTTGAATCCTCATATTTTATTATTTTTAAATGGAAAACCAGTGGCATGGAGAGTAGATGCATTTCTGAATCTCTTATAGTGCCATACTTTGTTAAACTACAAGGCTTATAGTGTAATCACAATGTTCCTGGCCGATGACCTTTGTAGCTGGCAAAAACAAAATAACTAATAGCATCTTCATTTTCCCTCCCTGTCACCTTTCGCAGGTCACCCTGTCAGACGACTATCTTGAATGTGTTGCTAAGCAACAGGAGACGCTGCGGCCATTTGGTGACGTCCCGCGAGACATGAAGGCGAAGCTGATCCGTGCTTTTGTCACAGCCAGGTCGTTTGTCCAGGGGCTGATCATCAGCGGAGAGGTGGTCAGGAAGGTCTCCCAGGTGAGAGTCTGTGTGTGTGTGTGTGTGTGTGTGTGTGTGTGTGTGTGTGTGTGTGTGTGCGTGTGTGCGTGTGCGCGCGTGCGTGCGTGCGTTAGTGTGTACATAAGACGTAAACAGAGAAAGAGTGAGTCAGACCGAGAGAGACAGGATGAGTTTTTGATGAGAGTTTGAGTATTATTTACAGAAAATCGTGTCTGTTACAAAGAACTGCTAGGCTGCTTCCTATTAAATCAGATATGATGGGTGAATGTTTGTCACACCCAAACTGTCAGATAAAAATGTCTCCACCCTAAAAAAAAAAGAATCAGAAAATTAAGCTCCAGACGTTGCCATCAGAACAAAGCTATCATTTTGACAACTACAGTTTGCTGTCAAAAATGGGTGTGAGGATGTTTATCTAGCTCTCAATGCAGTTATTTCCCAACATTCAGAGACAAGTGACTGATGTGACTGGGTGTTTGTTCTATCATGTATAAATGTGAATATCCTTACAGTACCAGGCATAAATATGATTCTATTTAGATCTGCTTGATAATAGCTAAACCAATGTCATGAGGGCAGACTTTTTACTTCAGCACAACCGTGATGTACTATCATGACACAAATCAATGCAGACTTGATTTCGACAGTGATGGATTACTTAAAACTCTAGTCGGTGGACTGATTTTCAAACTGCACAGAAATAAATGCACGAAGGCTGGTCAGAATATGCCTTCAAATATGAAAAACTGCATAGCATGCTTTTACAATAGTAAGCAAAACTGGATCTTACATCTTGCTATCATACATGGTGTAATACCTCTATTACCTGCCCCCCTTCTTAGAGGTGTCCGTCTATAACATCTCTGCAGGATAGTTGTTAAAAAAAACTCCACTGTGGAACTGGACACCTTTCACGACTCAGAAGCTGACAGTGTAACAGAAACCCTGGACTGTATAAAGATAAGGAAGGCCATCACAGTTTTTCTGTTCTCTTGTGTCCCATATCATTTTACAATACTGCCCTCTACTGTTCATCATGTTCCTTAAGCGGTTAATACTGGTGTACATGTCCCTCATGGAGAAAAGTCTCCAATGGAAAGGAGAAGGAAAGAGCTAAACAACCACAATGTACTACTGTGCATATCAACAGTGCATTAAAGGGAGAGAAGAAGAATCAGGACTGTAGTAAAGCATACAGTATTACATGCCCTTATTTCACTACTGACTCTGATGATACTAATATTTTTTTTTCTAACCTCTCCAGGTTCATCTGAGTCCAGACTGTACGAAGGCCCTGATGAAACTGGTGTACTGCCCCCACTGCCGCGGCACGGCCTCCCTCAAACCCTGCTCCAACTACTGCTCCAACGTCATGAAGGGCTGCCTGGCCAACCAAGCTGATCTGGACCCGGAGTGGCAGAACCTTATAGGTGAGACTCAGAGATGGAAGGGGTGGTTTGGATGTGTGAAGTGGGGTTGTATGAGTTACTTATCTATAGTCAGTGTGACAGCATGCCAATAAAAGTTTGGTTAGTTTGAATTCACACAATTACACAACATAACCAACTATCCTGGCAGCAACTCCTGTGTTCTGCGTGCTAAAATTACTGTTTTTTTCAATGGAGTTTGATGTCTTTGATGAGACATTGGTAGTCATTTTGGGCCATTGGATTGAATCATTTGAATCATGTTTTATTTTATTTATCACATCCCTGCATGATATATTTTGATAAGATCTGAACAATGTTCATGCCTTCCCTTTTTTCCAGCTAAAAATATTTGCCCTCTGCATATGGCGCATTTCCAATGCAGGGCCACGCACGGCTTAGTAAGGTATAGTTAGGCCTTGGTAGGCCAGGCTCACTTTATGCTGCGTTTCCAGTACAGTTTAGTAGCTGGGGCAGCAACTATAGTAACGCAGTCTAGGCAGAGCCCTGACGTCGTCTTCAATGCGAACCACAGAAAACCAACATCAGCCGTTAGCTGTTAGTACTCAGAGCTCACTGCTCCTCATATCTTTTCAGAAACTAGACAAAAGTTAAACAAGTACAAACCACAGACTGTCTGTGTCATGGCGAATACAGTCGCTGGTTTATTTATGTCTGTATAGGCCGTTGTTGTGAGTGTGGACGGAGTATATATAACGTTAGCTTAGCCGATCTCCATTCAGACATCACGCATTTTAAAAGGTTTTTCGCCTCGCCGTCTGTCTGCAGACTTGTCAAAGCATTAATTCATGGTTTTTACTAACCGGTATCAGTATGTTGTTACTTCGGCATCATTTTGAAACGTGTATTGCAATTAAATCACGGTCAAATATGTTCATCTTGTTGTAGTTGTGGCCTCCTTGCCAGCGATTCTCTCTCTAGTTTAGCATACTCAGCCCGACTCAGCCCGGTTGTTCCTGGCCCTATAACCACGATTGTAATTAGGACCCGCTAGCCGGTACTAGGCCAAGTGGAAACGCAACCAAAAACGGGCCCCGCACGGCTCGGCACGCTTAAAGCGAGCTCCGCGCTGCAGTGGAAACGCGCCATAAGTCTTAACGAGCTCTCCCATGCACACCGTTATAAAATGTGGAACAGTATGACATTTTCGCAAAATGTAAGCTGCGACTACGTGAGAACCATACTAGCTATCAACAAATATTCAACTAGTATAATAAAGTCCATAGTCTCGATAATCGTTTGAACTTGTAATCTTTGTTCTACGTTAAAGTATGCAGAATCTGTATGGGGTAAAAGTGGGGTGATTTAGAGCTCTCTTCAAATGGATTTCCCATTCATTCCTTAGGGGGCAAATGATCGCAGTTTTCTGTAATTTGCGTGAAAAACGGCTGGGCAAATCTCTTATAAAAGACATAGCAAGTATTAGAATTGAATTGAATTGAATAGCAACCGGATCCCGGTCATTCCGCACATTTTGATTTGTGGCGGAAGAAGGAGAAAAATATGATGTAAGTATGTTGAATACTATACTGCGTGTGGCTTCGCCAGTCACACAGAATAAGCTTTATATTTTATTTTTGTTATGAAAAAGCAAGTTTATATTCACACTGCAAATCATTTCACATAAAGATTTGTAGTCTAATGATTTAGTTGACTTTGATATTGCTCCTGCAGTCGTTTCATTTCTCCACAGCAGAGATTAAGGTCTAATCTCAGTGTAACATCTTCTGCGTAACCTGCAATGAGAGTTTAATTTTGAAGAGTGCTGATATAGTAATCTAATGTTTCCCTCGATCCTCACTTTTGCGGAGTATTAAAAACTGATGCTAAATCTATGCTTTAACTAGGATCACTGCGAGTAAGAATGGTCTTTCAAACCTAACGTGAGTAACTGTCACAAATTGGCACTGAAACATGAGTTTTTCAATGTCATGCGATAGTGGGAAAATAACTTAATAGTAATCAGAAAAATAGTTAAGGGCCAAGGTTGTTGCTCACGTCTGCATGAATCACAGACTTTGAGGATTAAGGAGAGAAAGCTACCTCCACACACCAGTAAAGGTCAGAACATGCATTGTCCACTGCACATGTTCACTTCCTTTCTCTCTCGTGAACTTTGCTTTATTACTTTTTTTCCTATCCAAGGCCGTGCTTACAGGAAGGCCAGAGGAAGAGAAAGGTTAGAGAACCAAGAGAACATCACTCTGAGGCATGGTAAAGAGCGTGGTGTGTAGTTGGAAATGCATTTTAGCTTCAAGAAGACACAAAATTACATCAAATGTTAAGATTAAAATGTGCCATTTTAAAATACCTCCTTGGAAAAACATATGTCAAATGCCCTAAGGCCAGAACATAAAAATAAAGTGTGAGGGATATAGGGGAGTGCGGTGTAAGATGTAAACAACATTGCATCAGAAATAACATCCAGAATACATAGCAAAATCAGGACAATTGCAGACATTTCCTCATCAAATGTTAAACACATGTAATAGTGTTGTATCACAACTTGACCTCAACCCTTTAAAATCAGAATGCCAAACAATGAGAATGTTAGCAGAGTGGTGAAGAGAAACTCTGCACATTCGAAAACACTTTCACCTTGAAGTGTTAGTGAATGGGGGTGTGAACACATTTTGAAACTTTGACCAACAAACACATTTCCCATAGAATCAGCAGTTTGTTTAACTTTCTGTTTAAACCCAAGCACAAGGGATAGCAGAAAAGTGTTACCTTCAGCCCCGGGTCGGGTCATCAGGGACAAAGGTGGTCAGAGGTGAAGGTCCAGGACGTGAGCCATAGGACAGGACAAGGGGTGGGACACACATTGGTGGAGGTCACAAAAACACAACGGCGGGGGAGGGGG